ATTTGCAATCGGATAAAAGACGTTTATGCACCAGCGTTCCAAAAGTGTAGGGTAGCGGTCAAGCGTGAGGGGGTCGAGCCACCTTAATGTGTTTGACACTGACTATGAACTGCAATACAGTGAAAGCTACACTGGTACTATACATCAAGAGGCTGCCTTAGAAGGATATTAGTACTGTACTTCTTTGCAAAGAGCCTTTGAATCAMTYATAGCTGGAAACTACATCAATTTTGTGTTAACAATAGGGAGTACTGCAGTTGCTATCTATTGTAATGGTAATGGTAATGTGGGTTCAAAATATTTGATTTACAAGGACAAATACCTTTCCGAAAGTCTAACAGACTTTGCACCATCTAAAAGGATGACAGAATTCTTTCGATTTTCTGCTATGAAGCCCGAGTTCACRCAGATATGCGTCTAGTTTTATTATCATTTTAAACAAGAATTGAAAGTATATTACTAAATCCTACTACTYATGAAAACGGAATGCTGGCAAAATATGGGTTACTCAAATAATCAAATAAAAGACAAAAAATATTTAGCAAACAGCCAGTGAATTGGTTTCGACTTAACCGTACAAAACACTAGAAGCTGAGAAAGCAAATATAAGTTTACTAAAACTCGTATGATGGACGAGATGGAAACTATGAAARTATATAATAGATTGTTGAGTGTCGGCAAAGAAAGCCTTTCTTTTAATTGAGGAAAGCTACTAGCTTGTCCGCTTAAGCCCTGTAAGTGTCACAGTTTTTATGTAAATTTCTCGCGTTTATTTAAGTATTTATGAAAAATTGGCAAAAGTTGAAGAAGAAGAAGGGAAAAAAAACCACAAACCAAAAAAACAACAAAAAACAAAAACCAAAAAAATCTCTAAGAACAAAGCGAAATACAAAATGTAGTTAAATGCAAAGCAAATGTCCGTGTATCTGATCAGCAAAACGTCTACTGTCTTGGTGGTCAACACTGAGTATCGAGCAAACAAAATCGGGGTGTGATAAAATCTTTGGTCCTGTAAA